GGGGGCAGCCGCAGGCCCGGCGGTGCGCGGACCGCGGCGCCTCTTCCCGCTCTTTAACGCCTTCTCAACTTCTGAAATGCTTCCCCGAGACCCCAGAGAGGGGTGGGTGTGGAAGGACTCCGAGCTCGCGGCTCGCGCCCGCGCTGCGGAAGAAGACAGCACTGGCCACCGGCTTGGGGGGGAGGGGCGGGCGGGATGCCGGACCAGCGCGTCCGGAGCGGGCTGCGGGGTGGTAGGAGACTCAGAGGGAGGGGAGGGCATGGTGCATTTGTCCCTGAGGCCACTTCACTTTCTAGCTCTGGAATCTGCTAACTTTCCTGCCCTCACCCCCACGCCAGGGGCTGTAGCCGGAAAAGGGACGCAGGGGTTTCAGCCAAACCATCCAGGACCTAGAAAACATGCAAATCCCCGAAATCCCAGTGTGGCCTGGGACTCATTGACTGGGGCTTGCGAAAACGGTTGTTCATGTTCCCCCCAATTTTTCCTTTCTTCCAACCCCTCCTTACGACCCCCAGTGGGAGCTCTGAGAGGCTTTAGTCTTCCTTTTTGACTGAAGAACCCCGCGCGGCCCCGCGCCTGCCCTCCGCTTTCCGGAGCGGGCTTCATCCAGATTAAAACCAACTCAGGCAAGACTCCTTGAGGAGTCACTTTGCTTCGCCCCCGCGGGTTAACTGTTGCCGGCTGAGATTCTTTGGGGGCTGGGTGGCCGGGGCTAAGAGGAGGGTGGGTACCTGCCCCGGGAGCGTTCGGGGACGGGTGACGGGCGTTGCGGCGGAGCTGTGTAACCAGCCAGGGGGGAGGCGGGGGTTCCCGCGTTCAGGTGCGGCGGCGCCGCTCCTCCCCTGGGCTCCGCAGCCCCGCGCCGCGGCCAGGTTCGGGGCTCGGGACGCTCAGGAGGGTGAGCGCTCTCGGCGAGTAATGTGCTGCATCTTGATCTCCTAGAACCCGAGCCCTGCGGAGCTCCCGGCGGCCCGGCCCCAAGGCGCTGCGGCCGCGCCGCGCGGCCCTGCCTTAGCGCGCCATGAACACCATCGTCTTCAACAAGCTCAGCGGCGCCGTGCTTTTTGAGGACCGCGGGGCTCCGGAGAGGGAGCGGGGCGGCAGGCCCTACGGCGGCGTCCTGGACAGTACGCACGCTCGCCCCGAGGTGGGCATTACGGACGGCGCGCCCCTCAAGGACAACCTGGGCCTGAGACACCGGAGGACCGGGTATGCGCACCCTCCCGGGGCCCCCGCCCGCTCCGCGAGAGGTGGGGGCGGTGAGAGCCTTGGGAGTGCTGGTGGCAACCGGGGCCTGCGCCTTAGGGCCCCCGACTTTTCCGGGAGGAGCGGTCTCCGCCTCCTGGGTTCGCGCATTCACATTTTAAGGGAGTAGTTGCTCAAAGTGTGGGGGGTCGATTCGTCAGAAAGGCTCCAAAGAGGCTCGTTGGAAACTGAGGACACCTGAAACCGCCTCTTAGTCCTCAGATGCCCGGACCTGGGGGCGGGGGTTACGTGCCTCTCTCCCGACCGCGGGTGCTGACGCGCGGCCGCTGGGGAGGCAGAAAGGGCTGAGCGGGATGCACGGGCGCAGAGCAGGGCCAAGCAGTCGGGACTCGCCCGGGCGCCCCCCCCGCCCCGCCCTCTCAGGTCAGGCCAGCCCCGTGGGCTTCCCCCCTTGTGTCACGACAGGGCCTTGCATCGGCCAAGGTGTTGGGAAGGTCGGCCCTCCGCAGGATGCCCCGGACGCGCGCGCGGCTCGGCGGGGCCCGCCGCGAGCCCGGCACGAACCCGCGTCTCCTGCATCCGCAGGGGGGGGGGGGGGCGCGGGCCTGCCAGGCCGGGTTTCGGTTTAGCGGCCTGAGGGGCTGCGGGGGTGGGGTGCGGTGGGCGGGGGCGAGAGCTCGCGGGCCACCAGCGGCTCCGGCTGCGGAGGAGGTCCGTCTGTAGCCCCGCCACGTCCCGCGGCTCCGGGAGCGCCCCGCGGGGGGAGGGGCGGCCGTCCTGGCCGGTCCACCTGGAAGATTGCATCAGCTGCTTGTTGTTGCTGGTTAGGGAAATAAAGATTAGGTTTCGTCAAAATGTTACTACCAGTCCTCACGGATGGAATTGCATTTCAAAGTGTTTAAAGAGGCAGAAGTCCCGGAGCCTGCGGCGCAGGCGCGCGAGCCTCGCGGAGTGGCTGGGCGCGCGGGCGGCGGCGCGGCGACACCTCGCGGAGCCGCTGGGGAGCGCAGCGCCGAGGCCCGGCTCCCGGCTGCTTCCCGCCCTTCCTCCTTGGCATATGCTTTTCCCGGGGTCTTTTTACGTTACCCCGTGGGACAGACCTTCCGTACTTTTAAGCTCGCCCTTTTGTCGTGGAAAGCCCCTTACAGTGTTTTGGGTTTTTTCTTTCCGCTTTTTCGTGTGTGTTTTTGTTTTCGGTTCTGCGTCTTTCCTCCACAAACCCCTTCTTGGAAAGCTTCCCCTTTACACGAGGATCAAAGGGTACAGGGGAGAGCTTGAAGAGAACCAGGGCAGCGGGGCGGCCATCACCCCTTGCTTTGTTCCCAACGTCCAGTGGGCGATGGGAAGCCCCGAGCGGCGGGCATGAGTCCCTGAAAGAACATCCGAGAGCCGGGCCGCAGCCACTACTCATCCCCTGAGGCCAGGGCCCCTGGAGGGCGCGGTGCAGGCGGGGGAGGGACGGTGCCGGCCCTGCTGCGCAGGTCTGTGGCTTGAATAACAAAAGAGCTTCCCTCAGATCACCTAAACCTCTAACCTCTGGATTTCCCCCTTTTCCGTGTAAACCTGGCGGCCTTCGCTGCCCCACGCCCGTCCTGTGCCACCCGGGCCGACCCCGCGCGCCCTGACCCTGTGCGCCTCCCACCCCTGCCTGGCCTCCGCGTCCGGGTGCGCGGGGCCGGGGTCAACCGGGCTGAAGCGCATGCGGACCCGGGGGCCCGGCGGGCGGCGCTCGGCCGGCGCGGCTCACCGGGAACCCCTCCTCTCCCGGTGTCCCAGGGCCCGGCAGAATGGCGGGAAGGTGAGGCACAAGCGGCAGGCCCTGCAGGACATGGCGCGGCCCCTCAAGCAGTGGCTGTACAAGCACCGCGACAATCCGTACCCCACCAAGACGGAGAAGATTCTCCTGGCGCTCGGCTCGCAGATGACGCTAGTGCAGGTAATCGGGGCCCACGAGCCCCGACCCTCCCTCGGCGAGGCTGAGCGGCGGCTCTGCGCCTCCCGCCGCTGGGCACGGGTGGGCCGAGACCGGCCGTCCGGACGCTGCCGCCGCTCTGCCTGAGGCTGGTGCGGGGCGGGCCCAGGGCCGGAGCGGTGGTCTGGGGAGTTGCTGTGTCTCCGACAGTCTTCCGGAGGCTTGGCGCAGCAGGGGTCGTGTAGCACTTGCTAAGGAGGGCAGGGCAAAGGCGAGCGCGGAGCTCTGAGAAGGTGTGCGGGCCATGCACGCGGCGGTGGCTCCAGCGGGCACTACCCCGCGGTGATTTGCGTCGGGGTCGCCCGAGGGCACGTTAAAACAGACGCTGCCGTCGCCCCCCACCCAGCCCGGAGTTCGCAGGAGGTCCTGGCCGGGGACGGTGCTTTCTATTTCTAACACGTTCTTGGGGTGATGCGTAAGCTGCTGGCCGCACCACACTTTGAAAACAAGGCAGAAGGGCACCCCACATTGGGGCCCCATGTTAAAGGTCAAGTTACAGGGTACCTTTCAAGTTGACCGCTCCTGACAGAGCTAGTAGGTGGGCTGGAAGGGCCAGAAGCGGGTTTGGGAGGCTTTTCTTTTTTAAGAGGCACCCTGGGCCTTAGCTAGACTCCACGCGGCTTTGCTGGCGGTATCTTTGTCCTTGGGTTAAGGGGCAGATCTCAGATGGCGGGTACCTGGTCAAGTGCAGAGGGGCGGCCTAAGCTTGCTCCATTTCTAGCGAGCAGTACTGCTGTGCACAGGTTTCCCTCCGTGGGGGCATCTGATGCTCGCAAAGCCCGGTGAGGTAGAGCACGTGCTGTCAGCCTTTCGCAGGTGATGTAACCAAGGCAGGAGAAGGCTGTGTTGAGGGGTAGAGGTGGGCCTGGAAACGCCGCGGGTCCATACCATGTGCTCTGGCCGGCACACCAGTTTCCTTTCATGAATGCAGTGACGTGAACTTTCACGCGTGCAGGCAGAGCAGAGTCACTCAGAAAGAGGAGAGGAGGTGCTACCTGAGCTGAGAAGTGGCGTCTGTTGCAGTAGCACTGCATCACTGCATTTGTGAAACTTTGGTCATTCCATGACGGATATAGTAAGTGAGAACCCCAAAGTAACAGGGAACGTTTAACTACTAGGTAACATAAAAATTGCTTTCCAGAGTATTTAAGAGTATCATTTTAGGAATTACTAGAAAGTTGGACGAAGCATGAAAATTGACTTGTACTCAGACTTATTAAAACTGTAATAAAGCATTTTTCTGCTTGTTTTCAGAATACAGTTGTAGACAAAAACAAACGTCTCTTCTGCTTTATATTACCAGGCAATAGTATTAATAGTGATTTGCTGCAGCACTGGAGGGTAAAATTAATTTAGTGTTCTTGGCTTAATATCTGCTTAACACAAAGCTGTGAACTTTCGGTGATTTTCACAAGTAGTTTTTAAATAAATAATTCCAGCCAGAAAAACTTAAGAACATAAATGCATACATTCAAATTTGACTTTAAACTGGTATGCTATTTATTTTCAAAATACACTAATTTATAGAGCCATTTGGATAGCTCGCTCTGATGTCAACAGTAAAATATTAACTTATTGATGACATAGTTCCATGTTTAATACTTGCCATTCTTTCAGACAGAAAGCAACAAAAGTTTATGGCATATTTAGGACATTTTTAGCTACGAAAAGTATTATTTGTCATTAGCAGAGACATTTAAATTTTCACCTGTGGTCGTTTTTCTGAGTTGCAATACAAGTAGCTGTCATTCTAATACAGAATCAAATTATTCTCTACCTGTAATGATAGATCAAATACAAGTAATTCTTTTTGCGATAAGATCTTGGTAAGACTATTGCATTTTTCTAATTTACATGAAGTTTTTGTTCATGTAATGAAAATCTTTCCCATTATATTTTCTCTCACACTAGTCTTCAAATAAAAATGCATGCAAATATGTAATTTTTAAATGGGGTAATTATTTATAATTATAATTGATACCTATTTAATGATTTCCAAGTTTTATAATAAATGAAGTTGGTTTCTGGAACTTTAAAGTGATAAATGGAAAAAAATCAAACGTATAGAATAACCAAGGGACCCTTACATAGCACTCAGGTTGGGTCCACCTCTCCTTCATTAGGCACAATGGAATGTCTGTGTAAGAAAAAATATATATATTTATGAATATAAGGGGTTTGTATAAGTCAGACATTTATTAAACATCCAAAGCAAATTCTGACGCTGTGGAAACCAAATAAATTATGTCAATACATTTCACTTCTGGGGGAAAAATATCAAGCTGTGATCTGAATAAAGCTTTTGAGCCCTGCAAATTAGACCCCTGTTTCATGAATCAGGTTCTCCCAGTGAATAAATTTCTCCTGTGGAGTCAGGCTTCTTGAGAAGAGTGATCATGTCTTATTCATCTTCATCCTCCCATTTCACCCCAGCCCAGTACTTTCCATATAGTAAACTCTTCATACGTGTTTGCAGACTGAATAGGTTCTCACTGGGGAATACTACTGTAATCACCATGTGACTTCCCCAAACATACTGTGGAAAACTGGAGAATGTCTTGAAATCAGACTAAGATATTCTGGTTTTACAATCCATCTCATTGAAGGGAGCACACAGAGGGCAGCTCGTTAACTTTAATGGTGCGTGTTCTACAGAACAAGCATATAACTCACCTTATTATTTTTAGTATATCTGGAAATATGTCATATTTTATGTCAATAGACAAATATGGAGGGTTTCCCATATTTCTAGCTCCAGTCTCTCTTTCTTGTTTATTATAATACCTCTTGTCTCTGCTTCTCATAATTTATATTAATAAGTTGTCAGCATAATTATTTTATTCCTCAACTACAAGAGTGTCTTTTATTTTTGAACATTTCTTTTACCCTTCCTGTTTCCCTTTTGGTTGTGTGTCAAGCTATCAAACCTTTCATAAGCAGTACTTTTGCCTTATTTTGCTACTCTGAAGGGTGTAAAACTTGGTCAGCAATCTCCATTAAGCCTGGAAACAGAATGCTGAAACTTTAATGAGGGAATTTTTTTAGGACCACAGAAGTAACTTTTTCTGATAAACAGAAGCTCTAAGGACATTAATCAACACTACATTTTGTTCATTCCTGAAAGATGAGGCAGGGAGAGATATTTATGCAGCTTTCATTTTTTTTTCTACTCACTAGACTTAGCAACTTGTCTTAATTTACTATAACTGTTTGCATCATTAATCTGCCATCTTCCTACTAAGATATAAGCATTTTTATAAAATTAACAGGAAGATGATTTGTGTGTGTGTGTGTTTTCACTTTAACCAGCCAAAATACTCCATTTTGCTTGGTTCCTATGACTGACCGTTGTTCAAGCATTATAAAAATATACTCTCTACTCTCAAAATATAACCAACTTCATTGTGGAATGACAGATACGCGATTGGGGTTTGTATTACTGTAGGATATGGAGCTTTACCCAGGGAATAATTGCCCCTAGAGAAGTTTTTTAAAAGAAGGGCAGATGGGGGCTGTACCTGGTTTCAATATTTCCCATTGTTTATGTGTATATGTTTACAATATATTTATGTTTTTTTCTGGATTATAATAGTGAAATGATTTTTTTTATGATCACATTACAGAGTGCAATGCAAGTGGAGTTTGAGACTACATTTTAGTGATTGGACGTTAATGCTCCCTTTTCTTACAGTAGAAGTTTCCAATTCCTGTGTTACAGCCATGTACCATTTGGTTAAATGTGGTGTGTTGCAAGATTTTGCCCCTGTGTTGACATAGCTTTTGCTTGGTATGGAGTGCTTCTGCTGAGATGTGTGTGTACTTACCAACTGCAAGAATTATGGCTACTGTTAAATATTCAACAAAATCTCAGATTGGTCCTTCTACGTTATTCTCAATGTCAAAGTACGTGGTGTAGAATTGAGGTGTTCGGTATTTCAGTTGAATGACTGAATCTGCGTTGTTAATTCTGTGTGTTCAAAGGTGGACAGATGCCAGGGTATCCCCTTGGGTTTACTATAATGATTGCTCTGCCAATGTGATGAATGTAAACACTGCTGCATAGGATGAAAGCTACTGAGCTTTCTCTTCCAGCATCTAGATATTTTGTTCTCTAAACTTTCGCTATAAAATGCAGTGTTTTTAAAGCTCTGAGTTTGACGTTAAAATGCTGTTGCAGAACCTATCCTTGGTAAGGAGGCCTGTTTCACGTAAAACAGAATTTCAAAAGAATTTGAATGATAACCTGAAGGAATCCATAGTTAGTTAAAGGTAGAAAATTTGAGCTGGTGCTTTTACCTTCAGTGAAACAGGTGGCGTTTGCATCAATTCATCAGGAAAAATCTTGTGAGATGATACTCGTGCAGATTTGTTCACCAACTATTGTCTGCTGTTTGCATGACTTAACACAAGAAGATATTCAACACCCCAGACTATATCCAGCCCTTAGGTTGTACTGTAAATTGCTGATAATAAAACACTGGCAGAGTAAATGTATTAGTAGGTTGGGTGCCAGTCAAACTTAAGAAATCAGTTTAGAAATAGCCTGTTAGACACCACCAAACCGTTATGGAAAATCTTCTGATGTATAATTAATATACTCTGTTAAGAACTATGAGTATACAAAACGTAAAAAACGATATGACTCCTATATATGAAAAGCTAGCTAATGCCACCATGACATTTAAAGGTCCCTATTTTTGTATGTTAGAATTATAAGTATATTGATTTTTTTTAAAATTTGAAGTCCATTGCATTTTTTTTTTTTTTTTTTTTTTTTTTTTTTTT